CCGAACGCAAAGGTGCTGGAACAATTAGAGCCTAATGCGGCGCCAGTTAATTGTGCCAAAAGCTGACACACTAAAAAGTTGATTGGAAGAAAGGTGGCGTGATATTGGTCACGACCTTGACAATTCACTCCAAAGTAAGCTTAGAACCAACAGCACCACAAGAATTGGGGATAAAGATTTGTGAAAATACAAAACAATAAACAAACACCGTAAACGGCAATACGACGACATGAAATTCATAGTCTTCGCTTTACCTGTTCAAAATACACTTGTCATCGCAACGTTTGAAGGTTACATTGACTTAAATTTTGGGTTATCACCATTTCAAATCAGAGCCTAAGATGTTGAAACGAAATCATGAAATAAGCATCACATTAAATTAATCAAGTGTAGAAACATCAGGACAACAGGTGAAGAATACCTTCGTATCATCCCCTGAACTTGCATTCAACATTTCCCGCAACTCGTTTATTTTCCCATTGATGCTTTGACGGTAACGCCTTTCGATGGCATTATGGGGAGAGCGTCTCAAGGATTTTGTGTCGTAATTTTGCCCTAAGATGCAAGGAATAATAAGCAAAGATAATTACGGGGAAAATGACTCCCGTCCGCCTGAGTTTTTGCAAGCACATGTTGATAGCTTTGAGTGTTCCGTTGATTAGAGGCAACCGGTGAAATATCGTGGAACGTTTGCCCAATATTATCCTCACCACAATGGAGGATGTTAGCATTATCCGCTCCAGCACCTCCTGACGAAGTGGGGAGCGTTTTTTCTTGAATTAATGCGCATTTCAGTTGAGGATGTGTTTCGAATTCCGGGAAGTTAACTTGAAGACGTTTGAAAGTTCCCGACTCGATTACGCTATTGTTCTCAACATGAATTTGAGGAGCAGGTGGTACATATCCGCATGATGGATGCGGCTTCAAAAGACTAGCCAGAGTGCTGTTTTTTTTACTGAAATTTCCGGCTTTCACGTCATTGTTCGGCTGAGTTTCACAACCCGTCAGCAGAAAATCAAGATCGACATCACTCATAAAATCTGCTTGAAAGAGGGAAATCGCATCAATATCCAGATCATCAAATGCCGACCCGAATTCATCATTAAGACCCTTTGTCTCGAACTCGCCCATAACCCCAAGTGCACACCTACTCAGAAGGGGCGGGAAATGCGCTTGTTAAAACTTTCCTCATTTTAAACTTAAAGTGATTTTTCACGAAAAGTTGGCTTATTCCCATCAATTTTTCTCGGCTATGCATTAATATATTTTGTATTTGCGTAATTTATGCTAGTTAAATTTAAAGGAATAAAATGCTCTGTAATGGGACGTAACACACCTAACCTTCATTGAAAATGCGTTTCCTTTGTTCCAAAGAAGTATCAATAGAAGGATAGATATAAATCCTTCCCAATATGCAGAAGTGCAGCTCTTGGGTTTTTCATTAGCCATAATTTTCTGGATTCACTTTCTCGCAATCGGGTCGATCAATCCGTTTACAAATCCACACCATTGCACTAAGAATAGTTATTAACAATATATAGATTTTAAAATTTGGGTGAGGCAAAAGTGTGACTTCGTACAGAGAATAATGTGATGGTATTTTGTTTGTGCCTTTGTCGAGTTTAATACTCCGCCACTTTAAGAAAAACCACCGAATTTTGACTTTCTACTAAATCTGGCTATTCTCCTAAATCCCGTGAATGATTACTGTCTTCGTCCTCTTCTCATCCGTAATTTTTACTTCATTTGTTTGTAAAATGTTACTCAAACTATTGAATGCAAATGTCTGCAGACAATGTAAAGTGCTACATAAACGATGTTCATTCCTATTGCTTGGTTCTTTGGATCCACTTATTCCAAAGTAATCGCGCATAGCCTCATAATCAAAGATAATAAAGATTTTTGCTAAAAAGTGATGCTGCCTGCAAAATGTGCTTTTGAATAGGTGGCGTAGGGTTGGGGATTTCGTTTATTACGCATTTAAGTCTAGTGACGCTCAATTTAATGAGCTGGAAATCCGGTTGGAGTCATTATTCTTTGATCAGGATACTTGTCTTCTAGACCTCCTGTTTGTTAATTAGATGTATTCCTCATTACAGCACTGGGAATGATATTTGGTCCTGCAGTATCTATTATATTGGCATTCGAACTGAAGTCACAACTTTGGTGTTTTTATTCACCTGCGATATCGAATCATCTTCTCTGAGCCCTTTTTTCCTCAAAATCCGGATTCGACCTACATAAAATTAGGGAGAGAACCCCATTTTAAAATCTACTACTTATGGGAGCAAGAGAACGCACTGTGTGGATATTAGAATCGCATTTACGCTCTTAATAGGTTTCTTTTCTTAAACCTCATTTTGTGAGGCACCAATATTGATAAACATTTTCTTTGTAAATAATTTGCTAGCTGAACCGTAGACTCAAACATTATTTTCGCTGATTCATTTCTATGATGAAATAATCGATTCTATCATTGCAGACATTTATTTGCTCACACTCCGTTTTGGCAAAATGTCGTCAGTCAATTATTTTTGCTTGCTAGAGTCATCTGTCAACAAGTTTTTTCTTCCGATCTGCTCTAAGAGTGTCGCTACGAAATCAACTGGGAGGAGGTTAATATAATTATTTCAGATGTCTCGCTTATGTAACTTTTGGCACAGAACGATGTGAGGTGAAATTTGTTCGTTGTTCCCCCCTGCTTCAATGGCTGACAGATCTGCAGAGCTACTAGCAGACCAAGCGATAATATCTATTGTTGCACAAGGTGAAAATGATACCATGGCTCTGTCGAATTGTTTTGAGTAAGAGCTTTGTTTAATGAGTGCGCAATATTCACTGTTTTTTTTTTCTGAAAGCCTGCCATTGGAAATGCGAGACTTAGTCCACATACTTGACTGTTAATTTCAGCTTTAACGATTACAAGGGAGCAATGATGTTATGCACTACGGGAACGGAATGAAATGTTGAGGTCAAACGATGATGTGGTGCATAACATTATACCATATTCATAGCTTTTGTCAAACTTTTCAGAACTCCCTCTCCTTTGAATGAACTTAAAATATTATTCGTGCCGAGATGCATTAGCGATATAGCTAGCGTCACTCAAGGCAAGACGTAAACTAACCGTTCGCACTCCAGATTCGTCGTGTAAAAGTAATTTAAGGTAAAACTCTAGACAGACACGTGCATCTAATCAATTGCCATTCAGATAGCATTGGGCAAGTCAAAGCAAGTTGTTCAAATTAAATCCGCTTCAATGATCAAACATTCATCAAGCGTTTACTCGTTCTTATGAAGAATCACCCATTTCGACGAGTTCAGACGTTTGCCCGTGCTGAGGCGGAAATAAAACGCTGAAACTAAGGCTAACAATTACTCCGTGCCGAAAATGCGTATGCCGAATCCGCATCATTTTGCCATAGACATCAAATCGTTTATCAACTTAGGCAACCAGAGAACTTGCGTCAGCCCCTCAAAAAGGCAACACGTCTACCCTC